AAGGGTGAGTCCTTCTGTCACACCCCACCACTCTCCTCTTCCTTCAGCTCTCCATTCACCCTGGAGGGTTAAGACATTAAAATTCAGAACTCATCGGAAGGTTAACTCTGAAAAGTAACCGCCAGAGGAGTAGATGAACATCAGGGCATCTTTTTTAATTGCCTATTCACACAGACAGATTGTCTTTTCTTATTCAGATCTAAACTTGGAGATGTGTCCTTCTGCAGGGTACTCGTTATCTGACGCCTCATCAGGAATGGGAACTAAAGTGCAATTTGATTGCTGAGTATAGGTTCTATTTTTTTTCCTCCTAAGCAGGAAGTTCAAAATCTACTGTGTTATTTTTAAAGAGGGTGGAAAAAAAAGAATCATAATAACTTCCTCAGAGGCCCAGTCCAAAGACACATACTGCTGACCTCAGCTGAGAGGGGAGGACCAGAGGTGATGTGGGGCAGAGTCTAAGCCATTTCTCGGTGGAGGGGTAGGGGCCATACAAAAGGTAGCAAGGGACATATGCCACTGGGGCTGGTTCCATGGTGACAGTGGCCCTGGGTTTTTCTGGGGCTGATTTCTATCAGGATTCATTTGAGGAGCTGTGACTACCTTCTCCTTGTCCACAGAGCCATGGTTCTCAATCCTGGCCAGATAGGTGACTCCTGTGGGTCAGGGCTCTTCTTGGTCTTTTGCGGCACCTGGAACATTAGGCAAACACGATGGGAGTCACAATCATAATCCTTACCTTCTTGAGTGAGTTTGGAAGGAGGAATCCCTGGGAAATTAATATTGAGAAAATATCATATTAACTTGCTTCTGTTGACCTAACCATTTATTGATGGCTGATCATGTGAGTCAGTATGCTGAGAACAAGAATTATAAACAAGATACTCAGTTTTGGAGGAGGCTCCCCACGTCCATTAGAACGAGCAGGAAAATCCTGGAAAACTGCAAGGCATCTTGGGGATTGCTTTTGTAGAAAGTTCTGGAAACAAAGGGCAAAGGCATTGAATGTTTTTCTTCTACAAATTGTCATTTTCTTCTTCCCTCTGCTTTGTCTTAGGAGCTTAGAAATGCCTTCTTCCTGCTGTTAGCAGTGGGGGACTCAGAGGGTATACCCCTTCATCCTTCTAACACCATTGCCAATTATAGTGAAACCTAAATATTCTCTTTTCCCCATTTCTCCTCCCTCCCTCCCTCCCTCCCTCTCTTCTTGCAGGGCATGTCTCATTAAGCCCAGGCTGGCCTCACAGGTTGCCTAGGATGACATTAAATTCCTGATCCTCCTACCTCCATTCTCCCTAGTGCTAGGATTATAGGTGTGTATATTACACCTGGTTTGTGTGGTGGCTGAGAATTGAACCTGGGCTTTTGTGCATGTTAGGCAAGCACTCTGCCCACTGTGCTGCATGCCTAAGCCCACACTTTCCACAGAGGACAATGTAATCTAGAGTTTCAGGGTTAGTCAGGGGCAGAGCCAGTTTGGAGAGGGGAGGCTCTCAGAGTGTTTCTGAGAGGAGCCTGGCAATGGGACTGTCAGCCTTGCAGGGTCTCTGGTGGATGGGGTACTAGTCAGAAAGGGCATGAAAAGTGGCAGGATGCAGCAGCCCTGAGACCTTTATGTGTGACTCAAGGTGGGCAGAAAGACGTGAAAGCAGACCTGAGGCTGTTGGGAGTGCCTTCCTTAGACCCTTTGTCCACACATCACAGGGTAAGTCCTGAAAGCATGGGACTCCACACCCTAGCTGGAGTGACACTTTTGCCTGGGGTTTGACATGAAAAATGGATGTGTAACCCACAAAGAATCAGAAGAGGAGCAAACTGCATCAAGGAGACCCAGGGATTTCCAGCCAATTCTGCCCTTGTGTATTTCGAATTTTAGTCAGTGGTGGGTGCCCACACCTACTTTCCCAGTGGGGCGAGGCTTCTGTTTCTTGAAGATGAATGGTATTCAGGGATAGCACTTCTAAGACCAATTGCCTCAGGGGTGGGCCCAGAAGCCAAAATCGAGGCTAATTGTGTTAATCTTGTAGAAGTAGGGGTGTGCCATTCTTCAGGTGCTGAGACCCCTGTACTGGCTTTCGACTAGTGGCAGAGCCACTTGTTACAAAGAAATGGTGGTGGCTACAAAACTCACTTTATTTTGCTAAAAGGAATGACTTGAAGAGCTCATTCCCCCGAGGCTGTGCAGGGGGCAAGCAGGTCAGAAATGGTGGTCCTCCTGTCCTGACTCGGTTGTGTTCCTTCTCCCCTGATGCTGAGCAAACTAAACCACTATCATGGGAGGGTGAGGGCCGCTCTTTCTCAGACTGTGCCGAAGGACCTTCGGAAGCAGGCCAGCTGCTCCTGCTGTGGAGAATGTTGTGGTTGGAATGTGGAATTCCCTCCGTGTGCTCTTATGTGAACATGCCGTCAACAGCCGGTTGTACTGTTTGGGAAGATTGAATTAGTACAATATGGAGCCACAGTGGGTCAAGTGGGTGAATGGAGTGGGCCTTGAGGTTTTATAGCCTGGTTCTGCTTCCAGTTGGTTATCTGCTTCCACACTGCAGATGCAATGTGAGCAGATGGCCTCCTGTTGCTATGCCTTCCCCGTCATGATGGAATGATCCCTTAAAACTGAGTCAGGTTTAAACCTGCTCTCCATTAATTCCTTCATGTCAGAGTATTTGTCACAACCACAAGACCATATACAGTGTGGCTCTGTAGATGACTGAGGGACACCATTGCATGGGAGCCCAGCATGGGTCAGGCTGGGCAGCAGAACCCACCACAGGGCACAAGGTCTCCACGGTAAACAAGAGGTACCACTGTAGTGGCCCAGGTGGATATACCAATGGCTCCTTTGCCTAATGGAAAGGAAACTTGGAGAAACACTCAGAGGTGTGTACAGACCCTTCCAGCCCTCTCCCATGGCCATCAACATGCACACTGCCTTCTATACTGCCCTGTTCCACATTTTCTGCAGAGTCACACTCCAATCTCTTAGCTAAGGGAAAACCCCAGGCTGGAGCTAAGGGAGGAAGTGCTCCTGTGTACCACATAGAGGATGCAAACTGTGGGAAATAATTCCTTTTAATGACAGAGAAAGCACACCAAACTGTAACAGAAGCCTGGGTGGAAGTTACCAATGTACAGATCAACACCTGAAGGTCCAGAGAGCATTAGATGTTCACAGAGAAGCCAGCTAGGTTAGAGAGCAGCATCCCTGAAGACAAGCGACAGTGTGCCACACTGTCTGTGACCTGTTTGTCATTTCAAGCAGTTGTTTCCTTCCTCATTTGATGGTAGATGACTGCATGGAAGAGAGGCCTCAGGGACTTGTATCACAAATAGGTGATGCTGCAGACAGCCTCAAACTGGGTACCTTGCACGCCACACCCGTGAAACAAGACTTGACATGGGTCTTTGACAGGTGTTGAGGGAATAGGACACCAGGCAGAAGATACAAGTTCCATTAGTCTCTAGGGTTTGGCACAACTTCCCAAAAGCATGCTAGGAAATGGGTTTATCAACAAAACTTTGCCATCCCAAGAGATAAAAACTACCCTTCCAGCTTTTACTGTAATGTATCTAGGATTCAAAACAAAGAACAAGAAGCAAAAAGGCTGCAACTCAAGAATTATTTGGAGTATTGGGACATTTTACCAATCTCTTTTGCATATATATATGCATATATATATATATATACTCACACATATATATATGAATGTATATTATATGGCAGAGTAAACATAACCCTGTCGATATAAACTTCCATCATAGATAATTATAGACTGTACACTCTCAGAATGAAGAAAGTGTCAAGCCTGTCTATCATACACTTTTCATCTTTAAAAATAATCTAACATAGTTATACTCTCTGGCTAGTAACAAACTATGAACATCTTCTGAGAATACATATAAAGCTCTGAGATTAATTGCAAATTTCTCTGACGTGCTCCCCCACCCCTATTCAATATCAGAAACGAATATATTTCTGTTAAAGCATTCCCAGAGCCATTCATAATCAGGAAAAGAAACAAATATGTTTGTTTCACCAAATGGGCTTTTAGCAAGAAGCAAGGGAATACATTTACTTTGGCAAAAGAAAACAAAGCACGGCATGATGTTTTACAGGTTTGGGTCCATGCAAATGCATGTTTGGTTATGTGGGGGTGTCCCAGTCTCACCCTAAAACCACAGCCAGCATGCAGGTTATTGTCAACTATTGGATTCTAGATAATTAGAGATAGTTGGCAGTGCACCTCTTTTGTGTAACCATGATTGAATCACTAAGGCAGGAATATGTGGCCTTGGATAGTATCAGCAGGAATTTGTCAGATGCAAGTTTACACAGCATGGACCTGCAACTTACTGTCTAAAAAAGGAAGAGAAGAACCCCTAAACACCGATTCCCTAAACACAATTCAGTTGAAAATGAACTGGTAAGCTTTTAGAAATATATTTGGAACTACCAGACTGCTCTGTGTTTGCTATACATGAACATTTTTAAAAAGTTCCCACCCCTAAAAACTGACCACGTGAGCTCCTCATGCCGAGCAACAGCATCGACAACTAGCCCCCATGACTGATGTCTGAGCAAGTACAGCCTCCAAAGTCATTCGTGTGTCATGTGACACTTTCCAAGGTGGTACTGTCGAGTCCTCCAGCAGCCAGCCAGGAAGCAGAGGGCCCTTTAAGCCTCGGTCCATCTGTTTGACTGTGGTCTTCCGCAGAGGGGGTCCATGGCTCCTGGGCACTTTCCTTTGGAGGTGGCCTGGCTGCTGCATTGGCTTGCAGGTTCTGGACCCAGCTACAATCTAACCTGCAGCCCCACGGAAGGTTCTTCACCCAGGAGCAACAGAAGCCAAGATCACTGACTGGAGAGTGGCTGAGGCAGTGGAGGCGGCTCACTGGCCCCGCAGAAACAGACGCCAGGGACAATTTGTATGTTCTTTGTGGAGCCGATGCAGTAGGGAACCAGAAATCTTGTACCTGGGAAGCATTTGCCAAATGGAGGCATGTCACACCACGGAACCCTTGGAGGACGACAGGTGGATGGACTGAATCCTAATGGCCAACGTCCTCTGTAAGTCCTGAAGCACATCCTGGCCCGTACCTTCACCATTCTTGTCATACAGGAGCTGCTTGAATGCCTCATTTTCAATGAGGACCATCATGTTTTTAAGGAAGTAGCCTTCACAGTATGCTGAGAGCTCTGTGACCCCGAGGAACTGTGGGGAGAGGAAAGGAAGCAGTTGGTTACCGGGACAGCGATGTGATCACTGACTCAGCTGCATCAGCCTGATGCTTCACCGTTCCCATCTTCCTATCCCCAGGCTGTGGCTTTGTGCCTCCCACTCAAAGGCCTGAAGTCTCTTCTACCTCTTGCCTTGTGTAAGTCCAGTCTTTTTTTTTTGAGCCTCAGTTTCTCAAGTTCCATAATGGGTGGGGTATCCTATGAGTACTGTCTAGAACATGGATAGACAGACAGACAGACAGACAGACAGACAGACAGACTTACTTACTTACTTTGCGGTCTTCAAGGGATTTGATCAGTTGAAGCATCAATCAGATTTGTGTCCTATCACATATATTCACACACAGGCATCGTATTCTTCAGCTGAGAAAGATTCTAGCACAGAGGCTAGAATGTGAGTCTTGAATACAAGGCCTCATTCTACAGGGAGGGAAACTGAGGCTCAGAGTGTCCTAACTCTTAGAGTTTGCCTTGTAGATGAGTGTCATTCCAATCAAGTTAGTGTAAATGGAAGGTAATACAACATACTTTTATGTATGGTATCTGTTAATACTAACTTAATGGCCACTATACACCATACCTGCCTATCATCTCCACACAACTATCTACAGATGCACATAGGACTAAAACTCTCATCTCTTATCTTCTAGACAGAGGTCTGTAGACTATAATCCCCTGGGATAAATTTGGCCCACAATTTGTTTTATAAATAAAGTTTTATTAAAACATAGTCATGCTATTAGTTTTCTAGTTATGTATGATTGTTTTTGCACTGGAGGTAGAATCAAGTAGTGACAAACAAAATTAAACATTGAAACAAACAATGTTCCCAGCCCTGAAATAGCCTACAAAGTTGAAAATAAATACCTGCCCCTTTACAGAACATGTTTGCTTATCCTTGTCCTCTGTTATATTTTTCAAATGAAGAGATCATGTCTTACTGATTTCTTCTCCTTTCTAAGATAGGGTCTCATATACCAGGCCGATCTCAAATCTTCTGTGTAACCAAGGACTGTCTTGAGCAATTGCCTCTGCTTCTAGAGTGTTAGAATTACACGTGTGAGCCACTAGGCCTAGAATGCCTCCCAAATTTCCTTATTACATTCTGGTAAGTAAGGCCCTAGTAATGAACACTGGGTCACTAAACACCAGAAACTGTTCTTTCCACTGCAGCACTAGAACTGGATTGAGCTTTTCTATATTTGACAAAGCAGCTTGTCCTCCTTTTCAAACATAGAGATAACCCAAAAGGACCATCAGAGGTTCAGGACTGAGCAGATGGGACAACTTCTAGGAAGAGGAAATGCTAACCCATGCATAGATGGATTGGCTTTCTCATCTGTCTAAATCCCACAGCTGACTCGAGAGCTTCCCTGAAGCACCGAGGTGATGCTGTGGGGGGTCCTTGGTAGCATCTGGAACTTGGCTGTTAGCATCTAAAAGCTTGCAGTTCCTCTGGCTCAGAGCAACCTCAGCTTTCCTGCTTTTAATTGCACGACTGTCAATCTGCAGCCTTGATCAGTGAGAGATACCAGTGGCTGGAGAGCATCTGTCGAAGCTGCATTGCCAGAGCTGAGGGAAGCAGTGTACACACCGGGCAGGAGGTAGCTGGTCCTGCCCTTTCCTCATGCAAATATCACAAATGGCTGATGTTGATGTTGGCACTATTCCAGAGTGGGATCTTGGAGGGGAAAACTGATGTCTGTCAAAGCAGAGGCCCTGACCGCTCGGGTGTACTGTGGGAGAGTCTGCTCCCCAGCTACATGAGTCCTTGGCCTGTATTCCCTGCTGGAATTCACATGGCATCACTTTGCATTATTAAAATCATGGTATGTGCAGCTACCAGCTAAGGAGCTTTAGGAGACTGGGTCAGGACTTGCCAAGGTGAAGGGCCACAGAAAAGCTACCTGTGGTGGTTGGGTTTCTGGGGCAATTCAAATGACTGTGGCTAAGGGAGGGAAGGAGGAAGACATTGGCTCTCTTCCTGAGCACAGAAGGCCTCTCTGAGTGGTGCCGTTATGCAAGGCAACCCTTTAGGATGAACACAAATGCTGCTTCACTGTGGTACAGTTAGAGCATGTCAACCTCAGGTCAAAGTACAAGGATGGAGAGTTCTAATCCACACTAACCAGAATGCCGTGTGTGTGTGTGTGTGTGTGTGTGTGTGTGTGTGTGTGTGTGTGTGAAGGAGAATGGTGTTCTCACCCTTTGTGGTAGTTTGCATGAGAAGTGCCCCCCCCCATGGTTTTTAGGCATTGGAACCCTTGATCTCCAGTTGGTGGCACTGTTTGGAGAGGTTTAGGTGGTGTAACCTTGCTGGAGGAAGCACGACACTGGCGGCAGGCTTTGAGATTAAAAGCTTTACACCAGTTCAAATTCATTTTCTTTGCTTCATGCTTGCTTTTTGAAGATGTGAGCTTTAGGCTTCCTGCTCCTGCCAGCATGCCTGCCTCTTGATCTTGCTGCTATGCCTCTCCATCATGATGGACTCTTATCCATCTGGAACTGAAAGCCCAAATAAGCCCTTTCTTCTGTAAGTTGCCTTGTTGTGGTGTTTTTTATCACAGCACAGAAAAAATAACTGACATGCACCGAGCTTGCACTGGAATCAGGAACACACCCCCAGAGTTTCTGGTTTGCTAAGTCTGGGGTGTGACCTAAAAAATTCCTTGCTGCTCCAGGAGACCACATTTTGAGATCCACCATGCTAAACTCTTCTATTCAAGATCACTTAATGGCAGAGACACTAGCTAGATCCTGATTAGGGAAGCAAAATCAAGAGCCCAGTCCAGGCCCAAGGATTCAGTCTATTGACATGATTCTTGTGACAGCAGAGTGAATAACATTTTCAGAGAACACCATTGCCTGGCTTAATTCCCAGTGTTCAAGGAAGAAGGGAGGTCAGGGTGATGTCAAATCTGAAGCGGGAAAGAAAGCCCTATGGTTTGGGGATGGAAGTCAGTGGGAGAGCAACTGGCTGACGTGTGCCAAAGCCCAGAGTCTAAGCCCAAGCAGCAAAGCCCAGGCCAGTCTCAGGAGCACAGGCCCAGCTTTGGTGTCATGGGAAGCTTACCTTGGCATGGCTGTAGATATCCACACAGTTGTCAGTATTGATGCTTTTAGCACAGATAATCTCACAGTGTCGCTGCAGTGCCTCCAGTTGGAAAAATTTAGCAGCAGATAGAAGCTGGAATCCATAAAAAGACTGTCAGAGGCAGAGATGGGGAAGGAGGAGGGCCAGCTGGACCACAGGCAAGAGTCCCTGTGATGGTTTGAATGAGGATTGCTTTCCATAGTCTCAGGCCTTTAAACACTTAATCCCTAGCCGATGGCACTATTTGGGGAACAGTTTAGGAGGTGTGGCTTTGTTGGAGGATGTACATCTCAAGAGGCAGGCTTTGAGAACTTAAGGCCTTCCCTATTCCCAGTTGGCTCTCTCTGCTTTGTGCTTGGGGTTGAAGGTGTGAGCTGTCAGCTGCTGCTCTAGCCACCATGTCTGTCCCCTACTGCCTCCACTCTACCATCAAGAACTCTTATCTCTCTGGAACTGTAAGCCCAAATCAATTTTTTCTTCTTCAAGTTGCCCTAGTCATCCTGTTTTGCCGCAGCAATAGAAAAGTAACTAATCCACTCCACAGGGTACCTGACTGAGGGCCAGAAGTAGGGATGCTGGAGTATACAGCAGGCATAAGGTGAGACCGGGGAAACAGGTCCTAGCTATGGAAATTTACTGTGGGCAGAGGGCATGGTGAAGTGAATCACAGACACACCTGTCATAGCAAGTCAACCTCAAATACCCCAAATCACCTCCTGAAAAAAAGAGGAGGGGATATGACACCCATTAGCAAGGTGGGTACCACTGTGGCTTCCTCTCTGCCTGTGGTCTTCCTATCTCTACTCCAGTGTCACTCCTACCCAACCTCACCCTGTCTTCCTCTTCCTTATTCAGATGCTATATACTCCCACCTTCCACAGCATAGTTCAGAAGGTCAGGGTCCATCCCATTGGACCAATGTCACACCCAGCCCAAGGTCAGCCCTGGGCAATGGAGGTTCCCAGAAGTATACCGAAAGTGGCAGGCTCTGGAGATAGGAAGTTAGAGTTCCCCAAGAGGGTGGGGATTACCGTGAGTCTCCTTGTGATTTTTTTTCTTTTGACACATTCTCAATATGTAGCCCTGGCTGGCCTGGGTCTTGCAATATAGGCCTCAGATCCCTTCCAGGTGTTGGAATTATAGGCATGAGCCATCATGGCCAGCTGTGACTTAAATGAGGATTTATTCACCTCCATAAAATCTCACAGAGGGAATCTGAGGGATGTCCCTGTCCTGGGAAGGCAGCACACTTCAACTCCACAGAACTTGAGTTCTGGGGTTGCCATGTGGGCCCTCCCTGACTTGTTCATCCTGTCCCTTTATCACACTCTCCGGTAAACAAACTAGTAATGCAGAAAGTAAAATTTAAATGCTTACTAAAGGCCACCTGGCCCTGTGGTGGAGTACAGCATGGGAGGAGGGGTCCAGAGAGACAGGTCTCTGGAGCATCATCGGGGGGTGGGGTTAAGGAGGGAAAGATGAAGGACCAACTGGGCCCTTAGTGACCATGAACTCTACAGCACTCACTGTGGCCAAGGGTGACTAAGAATCTTCTAAAACATGTTTGTAAAACCCTCTGAGACAGAGTATGGCCATTTTACAGGACAGGAAGCAAGCTCAACTAGGTCAAATAAACTGCTGATGTGACCCAGAGTCCAGGCTGAAGGGCTTTAGGCACTAAACTGCTTGCCTTAAAAATAAATAAATAAAACATTAATTAACTAATTAATTATTTTTAAAAGATAGGGTCTCATTCCATATACCTTGTTGGTCTGGAACTCCCTATGTAGACCAGGCTGGCCTCCATCTCATAGAGATTCATATACCTTTGCCCCCTGAGTACCAGGATTAAAGGCTTGTGCCACCGTGCCCAGCTGAGCTCCCATCTTTAATTAGGAAAATGGATTAGAGCTCTGGCTTTGGATCGGGGAATAGTAGGGAAGTCAGGCACAGTGGGAGCAGCAGGCTGAGAAGGGAGAGGGTGGTCGTGGAGGTGAAGAGCAGCAGGCATGGGTGAGGGATGGCTCCCAGCTCTCAGCTTCTGGGTCCCAGAAGGCACTACTGGGATGAGAGCCATGCTTCTCAGGGATGTAATTCTCTTAGCAAGCACACGGTGGAGCAAGTCATTGAAGATGTTTCCTGATGGTGATGTAGAGGTCCAAGTGTCCCAGCGCAGGTGGGGCCCAAATCCCTTGGTGAACTTGCCCCTCACAAACCAGGCTAAGACTGGTTTCCACCCAGGGCCCCTGGAACAACCAGTATCCCAGGACAGGATTCCTCGAGGACCTGCCTTGCCAGGGAGACCCACAGAGTCAAGGAGGATCATGGAGCCAGGGAGGGCCACTAATTCTGAAGTCAGACAGAAGGGATGCTGGGGCAGCCAATAACAATGGTCTCCTTACCTCCATAATCTCATTGTTTTTAATGAGAAGTGACTCTGGGCCACCATAGTAGAGATACTGCATGACCAGCTGGAAGGGAGAGGACACAGTGAGTGAAGCCCCAGCCTTACAAAGTTTCATGCCACTCTACAACAGCCCTCTACCTGATGGGGGACATCTAGACAGGTTTTTCTGATGACACCCTGAAATTATGACCCTATATATGGCCCTGCCTCCATGTCTATCCACAGGACCAAATCAACATGAGCTTGTCTTCTCATGAGGGGTACCAACCTACCTCTCATTCCGTGAAGCTGTTCAGGTGGCACCACTCAGAGAGCCTGCCTTAAAATCTCCTGAGGTTTCAGTGGGCCACTCTGGGTAACAAGTTCCTTGTAACAAGTTGACAGAACTCCAGAGGAAGTTGAGAGGGGTCCAGGGTTTTGATATTCACTGGTGGTGTTTCGAATGATCCAAGCAAGGGTGTCTCTTGTTATGTGACTTCCAATGTCTGAATAGTGCCCTTAATTACAGAGTTTTGCAAATGGGTTTCCCCGAATGACTGAAGACCATGCATGTATCTGATTTAGTGTAACTGCCTTGCATGAGAACCAAGTGTTCCTTTGTGCATGATGCATGTGCAGTCCAGTTTGTTCCAGTCTCTCCATTTTCAACCACCTTTCACAAGCATGGTGTTCCCAGGGCAACAGGGTTGACTGCACACAGGTCACATTCTACATCGGGATCACACTGTGGTACAACCACCACAATAGGACTCTGGAAATTTTTTCAAGATTGCCATGGTACACACACACACACACACACACACACACACACACACACACACACGAACATGAAATAAATAAAACACAAATTTTGGGAAATGTTTAACACTCTTAAAGAAACTACCAATTAACAGATACTTCTGTGCCACCAACGGCTAATCCTGATACACCATGAAATTCCATGGAATATCTGCACATTTAATTAAAGCAGATTCCTAATAGAAACTGCTTTTTGTTTGCTTGTTTTCAGACAGATCTCACTATGTAACAAACAACTTGCTATGTAGCCCAGGCTGGCCTCTAACTCACATTTCCCTTGCCTCCACTTCCCTGACTGCTGGGATTACGGGTGGCTTGTCATCACATCTGGCTTGGTATCTATCTGTCTTTTATGCACTGTCCGCTCTCTCTCCTTGCCTCTATCAGAACCTGGCCATGTCTTCCAGCCCCCTCAGCCTGGATGAGCTCTTCTGTAGCAGTGGAGGCTGGCCCTCCTTCAGGTCCTGCTCAGTGCTCACTGTGCTAAGAAATTTGGGTTTTCCCCCACCCAGGTTTGTTTCAGGCCACACTGAAGTGGCCTTCTTCAGAGTTGTCTGTGAGTACAGATGTCTCACTCATCACTGTATACCTGTGCCCCTAGCAGAGTGCCTGACACACACACAGAAAAGGAACACTATTTTATTATTATTCCTTGGATTCAGGGTCTCATTTGGTATCTCAGGCTGACATGGAACTCATGGCAATCCTCCTGCCTCAGTCTTCCAAATGCTGGGACTGCAGGAAAGTCACCATGCCCACCTCTTAGACAAATGTCTCCTGTGTCTGAATCTCTCTTTCACTGACTTGGGGGCTTCTCTGTCCACTATAGCGGTGGTGACATTGTCTAGGCCTTGGGAAATAACATTGCATTGTTCCCCTCTCCCTCCTTTCTTGGAGAGTGGGGCTTACTTGTGTGTGAAATACTGTCAGCCAACACTGGGCTATTGGCTTTATTAAAATCAATCATTCTTCTAGCACCTTTGTTATAAAGGCCAAAACCAATAAGAAGAAGCAGCAGCACTGTAATGTGCGCCCCCAGCATGGGCTCTCCATTTACAAAGCACTCTTCTATCAGTCACATACATTGCCTCATTTATTCAAGCTGCAACCATGGGCTGAAATTGCTGCATCGGTGGAGGGAGACCCTGGGCTAATGGAACTTAAATCGGGCCATCCCTGCTGCCTTCCAGACTCTGCCAGTGCAAGCATTTTCTCTAAGTGGGTGCAACAGGCCTTTATTAGGCCAAAGGGCCTGCCCATGGAATTGTTTTTCTTGGCAGCTGCCGACCTATATGAGGCAGGGACTCTTGTAGCCTGAAAGAGGCCTAGCTCCAGGTATGGCCTCCGTGGGTCTGGCTCTTGCATGCATATGATGTTAAACAGTCCTGAGGGAGGAAATAGTGCAGTATCAATTACTAAAAGTTCTGCCAAAATTTACACGCCAGAAGCATGTAAAGTGCAACAGGCTTTTGGGAGCCTCCTTGTGGGTTGGATTCAGCTTTCCTTAGCCTATTTCAAGCCACAAATGAGGCTCTTCTCCTTTTACAAGGAATGGGCAGGGACACAGACAAGTCCCCAGGGCCGGATAAATCTTCCCTTCCCATTACAGGAACTTGAAGCTAATGTGGCCAGCAAACCTTCCCCATGGGAAGCAATTACAGGCCCAGGGATCCCTCTGAGGCTGGCCTTTCCCATGCAGGGCTCTAACAACAAGTCCTCTGGGCAAACATTTACTGAGTGCCTGCCTGAACCAGGCTCTTACTATTGGAGCATTCCCAGTGAAGGCCAAGCTTAACAGTCATGCCATTCGGTACTTTTCAGTCAGTGTGTGTGGTGCATGTATTGTGTGTGTGTGTGTGTGTGTGTGTGTGTGTGTGTGTTTGGTGTGTTTGGTATATATGTGTGGTATGTATGTGTGTGTATATATGTGATGTGTATATGTGTGTGTGGCATGTATGTGTGTATGGTGTGTATGTGGTGTGTGTGTATGTGGTATATGTGTGTGGTGTGTATGTGTGGTGTGTATATGTGTATGTGGTGTGTGTATGTGTATGTGGTGTGTGTATGTGGTGTGTATGTGTTTGTGTGTGGTGTCTGTCTGTGTGTGTGTGGTGTGTGTATGTGTGCATGGTGTGTGTATGAGTGTGTGGTGTGGTGTTGTGTGTGGTGTGTGCGTATGTGTTTGTGTGTGCTGTGTGTGTATGTGGAGGGTGTGTGTGGTGTGTGTGTGTATGTATGTGTGGTGTGGTGTATGTGTGTGTGTGTATGAGTGTGTGGTGTGTGCATATGTGTTTGTGTGTGGTGTGTGTGTATGTGTGTGTGGTGTGGTGTATGTGTGTGTGTGTGTGCGCGTGTGTGTACGTATGCACATGTGCTCTGTTTCCTGCAGTCAGCTCACCACTCCACTCTAACAGGTCACAGGATTTTTCTGTGTGGTCAGGTGACTTCAGAGCAGACTCACTTTCCCAAGGATGTGAGAAAACAATGATTAAGTTTTTTTTCTTTTCTTTTTCCCCTTCCCCCACAAAGGTTCCCTTTTAACCTCGGCTCTCCTAGGGGCATCTGTGGGAACTTGGGCCACATCCTTCCAAGAGTGGGTGGCAGGGGAGTTGGAAAGACCAAAGACACAGGGCAGCATTAGCTTTCAGGTTTGAATCCTGGGCCCGGCAGCATCAGAGGCTCTTGCAGGAAGTGAGACTTCCCATGACTGAAAGCCAGATGGAGGGGTGGGACCTAGGGGCTCACATTTAGTGTGTTTTTACAGTCATCCTGACCACTTATTTCCAGGGCACTGGACGTCTGCTAATGTTCAGAAGATGTTATAATGAAGAGTGCCCAGTTCCAGGATGGCAGGAGAGGAGGGGGAGGCCTCAGCGTGTCCAAGGTTGGGACCTGCCCTGAGGCTCTGCTTTTATGGATCTGATGTACAGACTGGATATCCAGGGACATTTTCAAGCTTCCCAGGTGATATCAGTGTGTGGTGGAGGCCAGGGGAATAGCATTTCCGTTTTGGCTTGATTTTTACTTAGAAAGATCATCTCAGAATCGAGGCTAGGCAAGGATTCCATGGTTTCCAACATGGCTGGGATAAGCACATCACTGAGGTCTGTTTCCTGTGCTCTTCTCTTAGTCGGCTTTCTCCTTGAGTCCAAAGCCTCATTCTGAGTCCGGCAGCTTTGGCTTGGCCTTTGGTTCTCCACCCTGCCCCAGTGTCCTGGGTCTGACCTGTTATAGTACATGGCTCCAAGAAGGGCATCCTCTTTTGCAAACACCCCATGTATACTGTAGCTGTTGGAGACTTGGGGATACTCCCTCTAGACTTTGGGAGAGGGTGTCCCTTACCTTTGAGCCCCCTCCCCCAGCCCAAGGATGGGGTTTAGCAGGCACTGGGCTCCAGTGATTGCTGCAGGGCTGCAGGATAGAGTGGGAGGAATGGAGTAAGTGAGCCCATAGTGCAGGTGCTAGAAGCTCAGTCAGTGGTGTCCCAGGTGTTTGGGACAGCTGACATTACCCCAGGGCTCACCTGGAAGATGGGGTACTTCACATAGCCAATCTCTATGCAGGTGCTGTCATTTGTTGGCTTGCTGGAGAGAAGGGCCTTGAACCTGAATGACACACAGAAAGATCAAAAGACTCATTCACACCCTTACAGCTTGCCCACGTGACACAAATCTCTGGTCCTGTTCTAAAACACAGCTGGATTATAGTTGTTGTTAGTGTCTATTCAAAGCTGAAGACCGTGTTAGAACTCACATCCTTTCTCAAACTGGTCACAGGAAGGATCGGACGCTCTTTAAAACTCTATCACTTTCCAGCACCAATTCAGGGGCTCCTCTGCACGCATCAGTCTGTTCTGAGCACCTGCCCTGGCTTCCCTCTTGTCTGGTACCTAGGGTATCATCACCCACCCTCCTTTCTGTTGCTCTGCTCCAGGGAAGCAGGAGCTTCTGTCTTTGAGGCATGAAGCCTCGAGGGCATTTAACCCATTCTTGATGACTGGGGGAGGGACTCCCCATGGGAGATCATATGTCTTGGAGTTTGGATGCAAAGCCTCTGGCCAGTAAGGACCTTATCAAGTGGGACTGAACTTCAAAAAGCAGGAATAGCAGCTAGGGACATAGCTTAGTTGGTACAGTGGCATTCCTGAGGCCTTGGGTGCAATCCTCAGTACCAAATATTTTGGGCATGCCTGTAATCCCAGTACTGGGGATGTGGAGGCAGGAGGATCCGAAATTAAGATCAACCTTGCTACATTGTGAATTCCAGGACATCTTGAATTACATGAGATTTTGTCTCCAAAAAGAAAAAAAGAGCAGCAATAGGACAGTCACAGACATAGTTCAGCCCCAGCAAAGCCGAGAGTACATACCTGGGAGAGGCTGTGAACAACAGCACTTTGTGAGCATAGAAGGGTCTTCCCTCTACCAGGAAGGTCACATCAGACATTTCTTTATTGTTAAGAAAATGAGGATCTAGAACAGAAAGGCATCCGCTGTGTGTTAGTGTAGGAAGGGTGAAATCAGGTCCCCATGGAGAACACACAGGAGAGGACAGGGAAGCATAATGACCTTTTCATTCCTCATTGGTGACCCAAGAGTCACACTGGAGACAGCACCCATAGAGGACAGATGCATCTCTGCTACCCAGCTCTGCACAGGAGATGTTCCAAGCTGACCTGTGGCTAGAAGCAGCCCTTGGACTGGTAAAATGGTTCAGTGGAGTTAGCGGCACTTGCTGAGCATGTGGGATGACCTGAGCTCTGACCACAAAATCCACTTAAAGTTCAATGTGGTAGCATCAGCATCTAGAATCCCAATGCTCCCACAGTGAGATGGGTGGTGGAGACTGAGAATCCTTCGAAGTCAGCTACACTGGTCTACACAGCAGCAAACAAGAGACCCTGCCTCAGACAAGTGGGAAGTGAGACCTGACTGTTGCAATTGTGCTGTCGCCTCCTGCATACCCACACTCTCACACTCACAAAGATAGAAGAGAAAGAGGAAGGAGAGGGCAGGAGGAAGGGGAGGAGTGGAGGAAGAGGAAGAGGAAGAAGAAGAAGAAGAAGAAGAAGAAGAAGAAGAAGAAGAAGAAGAAGAAGAAGAAGAAGAAGAAAGAAGAAAGAAGAAAAAGAAGAAGAAAAAGAAGAAGAAAAAGAAGAACACACAGTAGACACACCTCCAGGCAGAACTTAGAAAGGCCAGTCTGTGAAAGGAATTCACCCATCGTATGCCTTTTTCTTAGGTTCTGTGTCCCCCGTCTGGTGGAAGTGGTATAGAAGGGCAGCTGCCCCCTTGCCCCTGGACTCTAGGTTGTCCTCTCCCAGAATCAGTGACAAAAGAGCCACCCCCTGCCTTATCTCTTATAACAAAGACAATGTAGCTTACACTTGATTACTGAATCCAACATATGGCAGGCCTTGTGCAGGCATCACATTTTGCCCACTGCAGTAGAGGAAACTGAGACAGGCACACATTATAGTGGCTGTGCAAGCCAGGATGTGAACCAAGACATTCCATTTCTATGGCTTGACTCAACAAAGTTCCTATGTATTACCTTTAATTTAGTCATGCAGACCTAGGGTCCTTCTGGGTGGCCCTTGGAGTCAGCTCAGCACTTCTACCTTGCTAGGAGCATCCTCAACTCCCTGCCTCCTCTCCTGGTCAGTCCCCACCCAGCAGAAACAAGGTGGCTCTAATTGCCAGGGTCTTGAGGCAGGCCACCTGCACGGCAGCTGACTAGAGCTGCAGTACTCAGGGCTGGCCTTTCACAAGGCACTCATGTTTGAGTTTGAGGAGTCTCAGCATCTCCACCCACCTAGGTGATTCTCCTGATGTCATGCTCTGTGCTGGGTGCTCCCTGTCCCTATAAGAGGTGCTCCAAACCAGGACAAAGGCAGAAGAGCTTTCTTCCCTATGGCCGTCACAAACTCCTCCCCATTCCTTCTCTATTCCCCTTGGCACCTCTGGAGCTTATGTTGGTCCCTTTGTCTTCACTTAGCACAGGAGCCAACCTTCCTACAGTCACATCCCATTCTGATGGGGGTGGGGAGGCCCTTGGGATTTCATACCAAGGGGGACTTGCACTCCATAGTGCAGGAAGGAGCCTGCACGTACATGGTATGAACAGCTCGGCAGGGAGGGCAACTGTTAACTGTTAATGTCTTGCTGCTTGAGTTAAATCTCTAGCCCAGGTGGCTCTATGAAGGATCTGAGCCCGGATACCCAGACAGCGAGGACCAGTTGAAGAGATTGTCATGGGAGAAGGCTCATGTGACTGACCATCTGACAGAAGGGCAAGACTGAGCTCAGGAATGGTTAGCCCACCGCCACCTCAGATCCTGGGCTCTTGATTACAGCACAACTTAATGATTCCTGTCTCTGATGATTGGTTTTTGTGGTGACAGGCAGTGTGGGCTCTGTCCCCCTCTACAAACCAGGGCTCCCAGAGAGGCCACACTTCTTTATTACTTTTAGTGGCATGTACACGGATGGGTATGTGCATGAGAGAGATCCAGGAAGTTGTGAGCTGCCTGATGTGGGAGCTGGGAACAGAACTCATGTTCTCAGGAAGGGCAGTAGCAGTCACACCCTTAACAGCCGAGCCATTTCTCTAGCCCGAGTCCTGACTTCTTGACAAGACCACTGTGACTGAGTTCCTTCTCCACCTCTGCCTAGTCAAGACCACTGCCTTCTTAGAGAAATACTCACTTCATTTTATGCATGTGTGTCTTAGTGTATACTATGTGTGTGCAGGTGCCCAAGGAGGCTCCTGCAGGAGCCCAAGGAGTCAGAAGAGGCATAGGGTACCCTGGAGCTGAAATTACAGACAGCTGAGAGTCACCATGTGGAAACAGAACCTGGATCTCTGGCAAGAGCAGTAAGCATATTTACCCATGGAGCCATTTCTCCAGGCCCTCCTACCCCTGCTTTCTCATGGTGCCAACCTTGGAATTCTCACCTGTGTCCTGAAGACCAAGAGCCTTTCACCACTAGTGAGAAAAATTGCACCAAATTCAAGGATTCTCTTCTCTCTATGGCTATGGGAAACAGTGCTTCCCTGTGTCCTTGACCCAGCCCTCAAAAATGTTGATGCTAACAAGGTGTCTCACAAGGCACACAGGTGCTGTACACTGTCATGCTCTGGGAAGGGGACCCTCCCTTCACCTCTTCCACCTTCTCATTTGCTTGGCCTTTCCTATCTGTCACTGTGGCGATCAATGTTTTCTGCAGGGCAGAAACACAAGTGACCTAGCACAACTCAGATTTGTCACGTGCATGACCATAGTACAACATACGGTCTTTGACCCTGCTCCCAACGTTTCCATTTTAGCAGAAAGCTGTATCATATTTAAATGTCCAACTTACTCATAACAGTAATGAATACACTTTGAATCAGCTCAATGTTTCAACTGATAAAAGCAAAGGAATGGTTTTGCTATAGGATAGAATTTTTAGATGCTTCCATTTCTTCAACATTTCACATTTAGAGGGAAAGGATACAGGAAGCATTTCCCAACCCTTATAGGAAAAGGAATCCTTCACTGTTAATATTTTATTACTCTCCAGGCAACAGGCGATAGGCTTCTTCAATGCCAGGCTCGGGTTTCCAACCTCAAGAGAGCCAGGCATTTCTCTTACTTTTCAATTCTGCCCTGCTTGAAGTAGGCCCAGATCTTCTGGATGAAGCCAGTGCCTGCCTAGGGAATCTCAGGGGCTGGCCCTACACAGTGAGGAATTATGGCATTGCTGGGCTGGTCTTCAGGTCCCAGGTCCATTCTGTTTCCAGACTTCAAAGGACAGAATAGGCTGTGCCTGGGATATCTGGGTGCTACTGAGAGGTACAAGTCGGGGTATATGGCTCCAGCTATGTGCAAGTATCCAGGGAGCATATAAGTTATCAGCTATCCTCACTGGATTTCAGAGCATCCACCGGCACTGCTCAGGTATGTCCTTGCTTTTTTTAATTAAGAAAAGATTTATTTTATTTCTAACTACCTGTGTATGTGTGTGTCTATGTAGGGTGTCCACAGTGGCCAGAGGTGCTGAATCTCCCTGGATCTACAGTTATAGGTAGGTTATAAGCCACTTGACGTGTGCTAGGGAATGAACTCAGGTCCCCTGGAAGAGCAGTATTTATTCTTAACCTCTGGGCTCTAACTTGTGCTAGGGAATGAACTCAGGTCCCCTGGAAGAGCAGTATTTATTCTTATCCTGAAGGCTCTAACCTGCCCTTGTTTTTACCATCACATGTGGTTGTTCCCTACTTTTCATCATCTCCTAAAGCAGGACTTCTATTAGGGACACTGCTGGCCCACTAGCGTCCTGCTTACTCCTCTATCATGGAGATGAGGGACTTTATAGACGGGAGACTTGCTGTCTTAGTCCTGTTGCTTGGGTAAAACCCATGACAAAGGCAATTTAGGGAAGAAAGGCTTTGGTTTAGTTCACAGTTCCTGTCCATCACTGCAGATGGTTGAGGTGGCCGAAAGCAGCTGGTTACACTCAGCCCAGAGCAGAGGATGAATCAGCATGAATGGTCTCAGCTCACTTGCTCCTTTTCATACAAATCCCAGCAATGTGCCCGCCCACATCAGTAATCCAATGAGAACAACGTCTCCACAGACCAACCTAATCTAGGCAATTCCTCTCTGAGATTCTTTTCCTGGAAGATCCTAATTAGACTGTATCAAGCTGACTATCCAAACCATCACAGCTGACATGGACAGTGGGCCATCTATCATAATCTGTGTGGGGGACATCCCAAGCTTCAGCAGTGCCCAGTGTCAGTGACTGAGGGAAAAGGCCCACAGATGAGGCCCTGCAGTCCCCTCATCCACATCCTCTGTTGTATTCTCCAAAGAGATTTACCACCTGCTGAGGGCCTGGCTCCTCCTCTGTCTGCCTCTTGTTTGCCCTCCACAGTTGTCACCCTATACTTGTCCCATGTGTTTGTTTCCTTCCCATCTGTATGTTCCATGGCTATGCTCCATAGCCTGAACGCAGTTGGGCCACCACTCACCCAGGCGTGAGGTCTGTTTCCTCTTGATCTCCGTAAGCTTGGGAACGGGGTAGGGACCATAACAGTGTGTGAAGATGACGCACAGCTGCTGGCTGATCACTTCATTCTGGGAAGGAAGAACAGCTGTTAAGGGAGGGCTAGGGTGGCACAAGCCAGGCTGTCACTACAGACACTTGTCCCCTAGGCAAGAGGAGCCTGTGCATTTGGTACATGTCCCCCTGGAGCAGAGACATTTAGTTTGCACTCACCACCCCTGGATCAACCTGCTCTATGAGTCCACCATTGAGTGCTTATGGAATTTATAAAAAACATTTTCCCATCACATCCTGATCATTTCCTAGCCAAGGGGCAGCAGGCTTTTGGAGCTGATGAATAGAAAGCTTTCAGCCCCAATCCACCTTTATCCGTGTTCTCAAACTCTGGAAGCAGTCAGTGGTCCTGAGCAAGCAGCAGAAAGCCCCTTTGGTCCCGTGACTGCACCCCACCAGGACAGGACCAAACAGCAGAAAGCGCCTTTGGTCCCGTGACTGCACCCCATGAGGACAGGAAGAAAGCTTTTGATTCAGCTCTGTAATAAATCAGATTCAAGGGCTCAGACATTTTGGATCTGGGAGTCATCAGTTGAATCACTTTTCAATAAAAATAAAAATAAGGGCAGCGGAAGGCAGTTCTATGCCTCCAAACTCCAGCTGCCCGTGGCTCAGGAAGGAGACTGCGCCTGACCTTCATCCTAGTGTTTTGGTTCTTTTCCATGCCAGTCCTTCGCATTCACTGCCCTCTACCAGCAGGTGTGCAGGCCTGGGGGTGGGATGTGACTCACAACATTCTGCTGCTCTTTATTGGGCAAATGGCTAAAATGGGCTAAACAAATATTTACAACTGCCATGGCTTGACTAAGTGTCCCCGAGGGCTCACGTGTTAGCGGTGCGGTCCCTAGTTCATGGTACTAAGGGGAGATGGTTAAACCGTCCTGAGACTCTTCAGTGAATCTGAGGTTCTTGAACATGTCTCCTAGTGGAAATTATGGGATGCTGATCTACTCAGCTCTTTCTCTGTCTTCCGGTTGCTCTAACTACAGGCTTCTGCCCTGATGCACTGTCTCACCTTTACCCCAGAAGCAGTGGACCAGCTGATCATGGACCTCCAAAACAAAACTGTGAGCCAAATGAACATTCCCTCTTTTACATTGATTATCTCAGGTGTTCTGTTTTTAGCAACACCGGGTTGACTAACACAATAAAGTATCAATAAAGCAAGGTTAAAACACACATGGTATCATTTCTCCGAAAATAAAAGACTAAAGAGCTCTTAAACCAGAGATCATTATTTTTTTCTTTATATTCTCCACAAGTGAGTGTTGCTGCTCTTTTTCTTTTTCTCTTTCTTTCTTTCTTTCTTTCTTTCTTTCTTTCTTTCTTTCTTTCTTTTTCTTTTTCTTGATGGTCTTGGGGCCACAACAATGCAGGACATAGCTCCTCCACATTGGAAAAGAAAATCTAAACCCTTCTATTGAAGTGGATAGATCAAAGATGGTACAGTGTCACCAGACATGATTCAGAGAGGGGTCATTAGAGTGAAAGGAAGAAGGAACAGTAGTCATCCTCAAGGATGGAATGGAGGATATATCATGAGCACAGGGTAGGAGTACTCCTCCCCCTTGGCAAACATACCGGTGGCTGCCACCTTAACCATGCATTCATGGGTGAGCAAAGTGTTTCCCCGATGGGCAGCATTAGAATCCCCTGGGAGCTGGTGAGGAACGCAAATCCTTTGCATTTCTTTATTTCATTGTTTCTCATTTTTCTTTGAGACAGGTCCTCGATGTGTAGCTCAGGCTAGTCTTGAACTCAGGATCTTCCCAGGTGCTGGCATAGAGGCTTCCAGACTGAATCCCACACTTTTAAATAACAGTATTTCTTTCCTGGAGCTGGGCAAATGCTGGCACAGGGTGTGCATGAATGGGGGGAAATCATTGGGTAGGTGACAGTCACGGTTCCTTTCAAGGCAGCCTCCACTGGCCATGACATCAGCAGATGTGGGGTGACCTTCCCATTGGCAGAAGGTTCTATGGTTGCATACCAATGTCTTTTTTGTCATTCAAGAAGACAAAACTTACATTTCACAGAGAAAGGAACTTCAGGCAAACTCAAGGAGACTATGAGCGAGGGGCAGGGTGACTTCAAATCTGAGATTTGTAGCAGCCAGGTCGCCTGGACTAGTATTTTGGCTTCTCTGGATCCCTTTTTATTTGTCCATCATTTCAACTAGAGATGGTGACAACACAGCTTCCTGGGGGGGGGGGAGGCGAGGTCCTGGCAAGGAGTAGATGAGTGTGGAGTGACTAGACTGCCCTCGGGCCAGAAGTGCTCTGCAGTATAGGCGATAATTATCATTGCAGCCAGTCCTGGCTGAAGTGCCCAGAGGAGGGTGTGACACACATGGAAAAGAGAGATTGGGAGAGCTGTGAGGGCTACATGAGGACATAAGAGAAGAAATGGGGGTGGGGGGAGACAGGCTTGCTAGGCTTTGATGAATGGGTGTGACAAAAGGGGGAAGATTGCTAAGCTCACACTTGTCCTGCTCCGGTGTTTCCTCTGAAGTTGATGAATTAAGCAGTCATAGCAAATGGTGTTTACACTGAGTCCCATTTTCAAGGCTTTTCATGGACATGGTTTGAGAGCTCTGAGATGAGGGAATGTCTCTGGTGACTTCTGGATGTTTTCAAGGTTTGATCCAAAATTCACTTAGTGGCAGTTTTTCACTGGCAGCCATTTGACAGGTGGACACTTAGACAGAAGCATTGCTCAGAGGCTTCCTGATCCAGCATTTCTGCTGATTTTCTTACTTTAATTGAGATTTTTTAAACTTTTGGTGGTATTGCTAGTTATTGCCCAGTGAGGGACTTTGGACACACACCTGCTTCTTTGGAGTGTCTAGGATCCCTGATGCTGGTACCCAGCAGCCACAATGATTTTTTAAAATTATTATAAAAAAGAGATTTATTTCCAAAATATTATGCAGAGGCCTCCAGTGAGTCTTATGACAAAGAACAGTAGACTTTTGTTTTATTGAAACAATCATATTTTTCCTTCTGCTGATGGAAAGATGGAAGAGGCATACATTTTCCTATTCCTCATTATTAGCTTCTATGGTTTAATATACTTCATCCCCTCTGTAATATATGTTACAATATGGTTCCCAATCTGATGATGCTGAGGACAGTCAATAAACACTAGTACTAAGATAACAGGATGAAGGACAGCTACAGAGGGGGAGAAAATATCTGCAAACCACATGGCTGACAAAGGACTAGTACTTAGCATATATAAGGAACTCAGAATCCAACAGCTCAAACAGAACAAAAAATTCAACTAGAATGCAAGAACATGATGCAAAGAGAAACTTCAATGAAAATATATGGATGGTGGAACAGTACATGCTTGGGGATGTTTTCCTGCACACTATGTTAAACTACCTGTTTCCCTGTGGGTCACTCTATATGATGTCATACCATACAGGTAAGGGTTTTCATGGAACTTCCTATAAAGGCAAATCAACCCTCTCTCCTCCCTTCCTCCTGGCTGTACCCCTTCTTGGGCCTGCCCCTTCCAGAGAAAGGAGCTGCCTGCATTTTCTTCTGGATGTGTAGCACAGCTGCCAGGGAGCAGGCTTTGGTCGACATCTGGCAAAGGCCTTCCCTTCTTCCTGTCTCCCAAATGTTCCTGTCAGGGCTGTTGGTGACTTCCATTTCCTTCTGCTCAGTGACTCCCCTCCTGCTGCCACACACTGGGGTGCTTGTGGAAGCTTCCTCTCCCCTGAGCTATGCTAGTTAAAGGAGCCACCAGGAGAGATGAAACCTGTGTTGTTAGCAGTCAGGACAGAGATGGCTTTTGGGAGACTGGGCAGACAGATGTGCTGTATTTTGTGGTCTAGCAATGATTGACTGATTTCAGCTGATAGTAATTCACTGGGCTCTACAGTTACAATCTGGGGAATTGTCTATGTATATGTCAGACTTAAAAGTGATGTTTACTTAAACAAACAGACAAAAAACAATAGGCAACATTCCTCGGCAGCATGGAAAAAAGTTAAAAGCAGGCAGGTCAGAAAACACTGGACTGTAGACACTGGGAATGCACCCAGCAGTACCTTCCAACAAGGTGGTTCTTGGGTAATTTCAGGTGAAAGCCTTTTATCCATTTATTTTAAGTTGGAGAGGGCAGGAGTTTGCTTTTGAAACATTCCAGGCAGGTTCCCCTCTTCTTGAACTCACTGAGGTAGGCCCACTAGTCTAAAGCTCAGTAGCACAGACACCAAACACAGCCAGCAGGGACCACAAGGCTGGCTCGAGGATGGGGCTGACAAGAACAGTTGCTGAGGTGAGCTCTGGCCCCAAAGCTCTGAGGTGCTCTGAAAGCAGATGGTCTGTGTTGCTTGTTCTCACTCTGCCATCAGAGAAGGCAGTTCTGTATGCCCCTTCTCTCAGGGTGAGCAGCCTGTCAGCCAAGCCAGGGATCGGAATCCACACACTGGTCCACAGGCCTCACAGGCTCCATGTGGACCCTGGAGTTCCACAAAGCTTTCAATGGGGCCGGAGTGATCGCTCTAGTGTGGTCACTTAGCTGCTTAGAAGTTGAGAGAGTTAGTTCCTATCACCTGGTCTCCATTTTCACTGATTTGTGAAATGTTTGTTAAATGGAGATGAATTTAGGGTTCCGTTAAAAGTGTGTTTGAAGACTGTAAGAGTTTTAAATATGCTTAAGTGAGTGACTGGCTTG